TAGCTCCCAGTGCTAAATAGAAACTACCAATCAGAGCCAGGAGGCGGGTCTTGGCGCTGTCAATCATGCCTGTATGCTTGCCGCTCTCCTCTTCTTCGCTGCAGCTCGTGCAGAATGTCGCGAATGCTAAGGCTAGTTAGCATGACCACTGATGACAGCAGATAAACGGTTTTCCTGTAATGGTAATTTGTTTCTCTGCCTTTAGCACATTTAGAAGTGTGTACATGAGGATGATTGACACGGCTAAGCCCCTCCTCCTGGCTCTGATTGGTTGTTTTTGGCTCAGGGAGGAGGTGGAGGAGATCGATCTTTTCACAGATTTTTCCTCATTCTGTCACGACATGGTGACAGTTTCAACAAATATGTAAAAAACATATTTTTTAAATAAAAGTTACAAATTGCAGCTTCAAGTGGTTAGATGAAAAATCTGCAGAATGTGTCGCTTAATGGTGTGAATAATTGATTAATCGATAAGTATAATCATTAGTTGCAGCCCAGGTCTAAAGAGCCTCATGCCTGGTCTAATGGATATGGAGGATTTCCCTCTTTAAACAACAAATATTAAAGAAATGCCTAGTTTCTAGTTAAAGTATGGATGTTTGAAGTAATAACTGAGTCTTTGCTTCTCACTCTGAGGTAAATCACGCAGGTTTCTTAGTGATCACTCCCTGTTGGGCGCTTGGTGGTTAAATGGAGGCTGTAGAAATGACTGTCTCTGCTGTAATGTGAGTTTAAATTCACTGCACTTCAGCGTAACTTATGATTATAATTTACTGAAATTCTGCCTGGGTTTCCCTCTGATGGGACATGAAATGAGTCTTTTGAGCCGGGAAGGCGTCCTCTCCTGGAGACGTACATCCGTTACAGGATTAGGGTTTAATCCGTGGCTGTGAAAGCAGCCGGGACCGGCTCCATTCCAGCTCCATTTTCCACATTCGGACGGCGCTGGGAGTGCTTCCGTGTGTGTGTGTGTGTGTGTGTGTGTGTGTGTGTGTGTGTGTGTGTGTGCGCGCGCTGGTTTGTCCTGCTGAGTGTTTAACAGTTTCCATTTAAAAAATTACATTTTCTTTTTTATTATTTTTTGGAAGAACTTCAAACTTATTGCGGAAAGCGTGGCGCTTGCTAATTGATACGGTTTTTTTACATCTTCTTGGCTATTTGACCCAATTTATTAAAGGCCGATTAAAGCAAATAAATCAGAGCAGACTCCGCTGCAAACCTGCTGAGCTGTTATCTCATGTCTGCTCTTCCTCTTCAGCTTTTATCCACCCTTTTTCCTCTTAACTGATTTTAAATGTTGCAAATCAGTTTGAAAATCTGGAAACTTCACCTTATCTCTGTGATCGGTGTGAAGAAAAACATCTGCTCTCCATTGCTGCTGTAGTTAAGTCTGCTGTGCTGCTTTATCCTAACTTTACAAATTAAAGTTTAGGAATAGTTAGAAATATTCCAAAACTGTAGAAACTCATTAAACTCGATGAGTTTAAACAGCCTGGAGCTGGAAAAATAAAGCGTGAAACCAGTGAATGTAGAATAACTTCATTTTTCCTCATCACTGAATCTATTGCTGTCTTTAAAGTAATTGGAAACCAGAAAATGTTTAATTATGAGAAGGTCAAAGGTTGATGGTTGGAGGACTGGCAATGGTAAAATAACCAAAGAATGAATTCAGCTGCTGTTCTTTAACCCTTCAGACTAAAGACAAAAGGTTGGTCTCTTTGTCAAGATGTCAGTCTAAAGTTCTCATCTTTTTTCGCATTACGCCATTTTGAAATCAGCAGCAACTCTGGTATTTGGCCACTGATCTCCTTGGATAAAAAGTACTTCAATATAAACATGTATGAGTCGTGTTGGTATGTGGAGAATTAAATATTCTCTGTTTGTTGAGAAGCAGCAGATCGTTAGCTTTGATTGGAGTTTAAAAGTTCTCAGTGGGTTTGAAATCAGTTGCGTAACAAACACCAGAGGCTCTTGGTTCACCGCCGGGATCCTGCAGTTCAACTTTCAGACGATGTTTTTCTTTCTGAAAACACCTCCGAAGCGCTCCGGCTGTTTTTATCCAAAGAAGCAGAGAAGACAATGTCCCGCTCATTAAGTCTTATTTCTCCTGCTCAGATGTTAGATTAAAACCACTTTCACTCAACGCTCGCACCTGTTTGATGTTCGTCTTAGAAACAGAATAAAATCCGACTCTGTGTTGAACACAGCTGCACAGAAATGCAAAGAGAGAAACGGGAAGCTTTGGTTTAGTGCCGTCAAATAAGATGCAGTTTGACTCCTGTATGGGTTTATTTTCAATCTCTGGATGTTCCTCCGTTTTATATTTGCTCGATTTTATTTTACCATTAATGACGTGAGGCCATCCAAACAAGTTAATTGGTGCATTAGCAGTGAAATAGATGCTAACAACAAGAGAATCCCCAAAATCCCCCAAGTTGAAAGCCCTCAGGGGCCAAAATTACATTTTATATAAAGACATAAAATAGTTTTATTGTGAATTCTTCCTTTTTTACATCCACAACAATAAATTAAGCTACTAATATCTTAATTAAACATTAGTATGACGTTAGCCTTAATCTTTACAGTTACTTAACTTTTTGTTGGTATATAAAATGTTTTGGTTCTGGTGGGTCCAAACTTTTTGCATCAAGGACCAAAATCGCCAACTTGAAATTCCTCTGAAGCCAAAATTAGCTCTTACTCTCCAACTGAAACACAAAAATGGTAGTTGTGAATTCTTCAGCTGGACAAACAATAAATTAAACATTATTTTTAATTAAACCATCATTTGTATGACATCTGCTTTAGTTTTTACAGTTATTTAACTTTTTGGGCCAATTATTAATCGTTTTTGTTAGTCTATAAAATGATTTAGTTCATTTCCAGCAACAAAAATAATCTTTATATATATATATAAACCTTTCCTATGTTTAGCCAAATATAAGTGATGGGTGTGCTTAAGTGTGTTTCTGGGTAAAAAGGTTTGTGACATGACTTTGTATAAAGTTAAACATTTTCTGTTGAAGAAGATTTGAGCTTTCTGTGTAAATCTCATCCAAAAACAGTTACATAAAGTGTCTTTGGCGTATGATGTCATACGCCATAGAGCCACATTTCCACCAAATTTCTGCCTTTAGCTGCTATTTGTAATTTAAAAGAAAAATAGACTTTAGTTGCATGGGTAAAAACAAACATTTTCAGTAGATATCCCAACATAATGTTATATTAGGTGTTCAGATGCACTTAGTCAGCGTGGGGCGCAGCTCTGGACTGTGTATCGTAATAATGTTCAAAAACAAAAGTTCTGCAACTCACCCTGAGAAACTTTCCACCGGTACCTTCAGGCTTTCTTTTAAGTGACCCGATCTTAAGCCATTTGTCTGTTATTATTTTCAAACACAATCTTTTGGTAAGCTAGCTGTAGCGTCGCTCATGTAATGGCAAATTAACAGTTGTTTACATGCAGTACCTCTCGGACCACAGTTTGAGGAGGATTGTCGTAAATCCCCTCTGGCTGATAAACACCCTTCCTCAGCGTCTCTCCCCTGCGTCGTCTGCGCTTCACCTCCGACCTGAAGCAGGTAGCAGTCGCCTGTGGGCCACTTCTCCGTCAGATCAGGCTTTCTTCTCGGTTCTCTCCTTTTAAATGGGCTGAGATAATTTACTCCAGGGGGGTTCCCACGGTCCCAGAGCCCGAAAAGTACACAACACAGCTAAGTAGTCGTGGAGGGATTTGGAGACTTGAGTTTCTCTGTCAAAGTTTTCAGAGTGAAGGAAAGAGTGGTTTCAGACTCTGGGGAGTTGTGGTACTGGCAGGATTTAAGCTGCAACAGGAAAACGATGCATCTCGTGCCTCTTCCAGATGCTTCATGTCCCGCTGTGTGAGGTTGACTGGAACGAGCTGCTCTGACGGTGATACGTTATTCATAACTGTGTTTTCTGAAACCTCAAACTAGTTATCTCTGCCAGAAAATGAAGCTTTTTTTTAGTACAGGAGCCCAGAATGGACAAACGATGGGCATGATTTTTTTTATACTCATCATTGGTTCATCTGCTGGTCAGTCTACCACTTGACCAGCAGATGTCGCTAAAAAGCCAGGAAAAATAACACAGGAATTAGTTCTAAACCAACTTACCCGATTAAATACAAATCTAACTTTTGCTTTAACACTTATGCCAGTGGGTTAAAATATAAGGTGATCTCTAATTTATTTCAATAATCGATTAATCGTTTCACTATTAGGGCTGGGCAATACGGCTCAAAATGTATAACGATAAGGCTTTCATTTTGGTTGATAATTATGTTTTAGTTTTCTTTTGTCTTATCTGACGTATTGCCAGACCTTCCCTGTTTTATCCACAGTTTTTACACCTGTAGTTTTTATTCTTAAGCAGTTATGAGACACAGTGGACAAACCTTAAACTGCTGCTGCGCCAGTTGCTCAGCAGGCCGTTGCTAGGTAACTGAAGAGTGAGTGAGTTGCTAGGTAACCAAAGAGTGAGTGAGTTACTAACCTAGCTTAGCCGTGATGGGCTGAGCAGCTAAAACCTTTCTTCTGCCTACATTTCCCAGAATGCTGCGCAGGTCTGGATCGGAGTTCAGTGAAATTATTGAATATTCTATCAGACGTATTATCCATTGATATTGATCACATGTCTAAAGTGATATATGTTATTGATTTATTGTCTGGAGCTACTTAATATTTTAGTCATTGTGGTACTTGTATGCAATCTACAACTTCACCAGCAGATGTCACTAAAGTCCAATAAAGAAAAAGCTCCTTTTAGTTGAGCCTTAAGCAGCATAAAGTTGGAAAGGAAAATCAAAATTAACTAAACTAAACCACAAAAGTCGATGCTGATTTGTTAACGGGGAAAGCAGCTGCTGGTCAGTGAGCACTCTGGCCGGATCTGTGTGACCTATGACCTTTGGTGAAGCTATTCTCCTCTGCTGAAATCACCAAACTCTTAACTGTTTCTCTCCTCTCCCACCCTGCCAGGTTTAGTCCAGAAGGTGGACCAGCGCCTCCCGGTGGCCAACGAGTACCTGCTGCTGTCCGGCGGCGCCCGGGAAGGCGTCCTGGACCTGAACCCGGAGGACCTGGGCGAGTACGCCAAGGGGGCCGACTTCGACCTGGACTTCACCCTGCTGGTTCCCGCCCTGAAGCTGCACGACCGCAACCAGCCGGTGACCTTGGACATGAGGCGCTCGCCGCCGTGCCACTCCTGGCTCAGCCTGCGCCTCTGCGACTCCAACGTCCTGTCGCGCTGGAGCGTCTGCTGCCAGGAGGAGAGCGGGCTCCCTGCCGAGGAAGACGAGGACGAGGAGGAGGAGATGGGTGAGAGAGAGAGGAAGTGAAAGACGAGTGACTGGATGGAATAAACAAAGATGAAAGTGTTGCTGCAGATTGGATTGAGCGCGTGTTTTCTTCTGATGCACGACGCTGTGATGCAATTTCAGCCCGCAGCAGACGGGCTGTTTTTCACAATAAAAGCCCTCAGAAAGGCTCTGAGTTCAACTTATGAAGCAGAACTAAGCAGTGGAAAGTGCAAGATAATGCAGCGGTTTGCAGATTACTCCAGAAAATCAATCTGCAGCACGCTGGCGAGGGCGGAGGGGGGAGTAAAGACATTTATTGATATGAATCTGTTTAATTTTTAGCAGTTTGGGACGAAGCGTCAGCTGGATTTTCTGGATGTGTAATAACATTTCCCACCAGATTTCAGGGAGCTGTAATTGTCGAGGCAGGGGAGCTGATTAAATCAGGGTAGATGACAGAAAGTGTCGCACCAAATGTGTCCCTGAAAGACGAAAAAACCCACCTGGGTCGATGGTTCCCAGTGGAATAATTAGATTTTGACACCTTTCTCTGAAAAGTGTTCACACCCCCTGAACCAACACATCCTGTCCTGGTGCAAGCCCAAACCTTGATGCTTTTTATGACATTTACTTGACAAAGTAGTGCTGATTGTTAATTATTCAATAGAAGAAACATAAGACGGGGTCAGTGAAATCTGTCAGCTTTGTGGTAATTGAGTCGTTAGAGTTCAGCACATCATCCCAAAACCAAAACTTTTATGTAAAATGAACTTTTTTGAGCCAAGTTTCAGTTTTGTCATCCGATTTTGCTTCATGTCACTTTAGAGTTGGCATGAATAGTCAAAAACAACATTTTATGGCAATAATTTGGTTAAAAGGCTAAAAAAATGGCGTCCATCTTGAAACTGTCATTCTGAACTTTATCATAAAATGAACTTTTTGAGTTTCACATCATGTTATGATGTTATAATGTGAATCGGACCTGAAGTGTTGCTTTGATGCGTTCATGAATGTTTGAGAAATCCTTTAATCACCATGGTAACTGTTCAGCTGTCCTGGTTGGACCTAGCCCCGCCTCCTGGGAGCAGCTCCTCCCTACTCAGTTCCTTCAGACTAGCCAGTAGCAATTAGCGAACACCTCCTGAGCTGCTTCAGTGAAACGCTGGTAAAAATGCTGTTAAAGGGTTGATGGAGGAGCAGATGTGTGACGACTTCCTGAAGGCGGTGTTTCAGAAAGAGCAGGAGCTTCTTAAAGAGACAGAGACCCAATTTTAATTTGTGATATTACTAAGGAAAATTTATTTCAAGTCGTATCTGATACATAGAGCATTTTTATAACAACTGAAGTTGACATAGTTACTTGATTATGCTATAAAACAGCACAATGTGACTGGAAAACACAGAAATACCCCTTTAATTAGTTTATGGGAAACATGAAAAACATTTTTATGCTCACTGAAAGGTTTCCCGGTAACTCTGCTGTACAGGTAAAGGCTCCATCCCGTCGCTGGGCTCCCCTCAGTCCCTGGACGGCTGCTACTTCTCGCCCAGCCTGGTGGCGGACTGGTTCTGGGGGGTGGTGAGCGAGGCTGTGGAGGAGCTGCGGCGCAGCCCGCAGAGAGGCATCCCGACCGCGGAGCGGCTGGAGAGGAACGGGCCCCTGACCACCATCATCCTCCAGGTACAGAGCCGCTGCTGCCTCCTACTCTGAAAATGTTATAAAAAAAATAACAAATGGACGGTTCTGTTCTGAGATTCAACAACCTCCATTATTTAAATTCCTCAAGGCAGTTTATCTAAATTGTATTTTACTATTTAGCACCATCTGCACCGACCAGATAATTATTTGTGTTGGCAACACTTAATTTAATTTTGCTTTTTAATTTTTAAAAGTTAACGTTACTTCTCATCTGTTCTGCACTTTATCTTTTTCCCTACACTTAAAACTTGAGACTTAAAGTGAAGACTAAATAGTTTATTTATCATTTTCTCTTTTCTCTTTGTTATATATCTTTTACTAGCTTAAGCACACTGCAAAAAAAAAAAATCTTACCTAGTATTTTTGGTCTAGTTTCTTGTGCAAATATCTTAGCACACTTAAAAAGAGACGAGACTAACTTAAAAGTGGCTTTTCAGAAATATATAACAGCTTGTTTTTAAGTCAGTAATTCCTTCAAATCGATGGAAAAAGTTTTAGTTCTATTGTCAGATTATTTAACTCATTATTTAATTTACTTTTTCTGCAATTTTATCGAATTATTGACTTAAATAAGCTCCTATAGCTTCCTGAAAAGTTATTTATAAGACAGTTTTATCCTATTTCAAGTGTACTAAAATATTTGCAGTAGGAACTAGACCAAAATTACCTTTTGTGTTTTTGCAGTGTAAGTACAAAAACATTTGCTGAAAGCAAATCATTGTCTCCTCTGAGTCTCTTATTCTGGTTTTCTCTCTGTTGGTTAGTTATTTCTTGTGTAAATGTTTTCTTTTGTTGATGTTTTTTTTTTTGTTTCTTTTAATTGAGCTATCTGTCCTTTGACTATTTCCCTGGGGGGTTTCTGCTTAATTGTCTTAAAACAAAGGATGAATTTCATCTATTGTGCTTATTCCAACATATTTAATTAATGTTCATTTTCCTAAAGAAATAAATTAAAACAGAAACATCAAAACGGGACTTTTTTAAAATTTTATTTGATTACTCGATTAATCGTCAGAGTAATTGTTTCCATCAGTTCTGTGCGGGCGTTGCCGTGGCGATAAAACCACACGCGTGTGTGTGTGTGTGTGTGTGTGTGTGTGTGTGTGCGTCCTTCCTGCAGGCGGGCTCCAGCCGGGTCCTGTACGACCTGCTGCCGGTGGTGTCGTTCCGGGGCTGGCCCGCCGTGGCCCAGGGCTGGCTGACGGCCAACCACTTCTGGGACGGTAAGATCACGGAGGAGGAGGCCATCTCCGGGTTCTACCTGCTGCCTTGCTGCTCCCCGCTGGGCGGCCGGCCCGACCGCGAGTGGAGGCTGGCCTTCTCCCGCAGCGAGGTCAGGAGACGCCCAGCCGTCTTTTCTCACAACTGTAAAACATATTTACAGTTAAACAGATATTTTCATTCACCTAATAGAAAGACACATGCACAGTTATTTCCCATTGTCTGAAGTTAAACCAGATCAAACTTCAGTTATTTATATTTGCTAAATGCTTCAAAACTTAGAACATTTTTTACCAGAGATTTTTCTTTTGTTAAGGAGCAGGAAGATCATTTACCTTAAGATTTTGCTTGATTTCGTGTCATAACTATTTATTATTCCTAATGACTCAATGACAGATAGATCCATGTAATCCAATAAAGGCTGTTTTATATTTTCTACGTTAACATTATTGAAATTAGAAGATTTTATTTTTTTGTTATAGGTGACCTATTCTGCAAAATTTCCTTTTTCTGCATTATTTTCATTCTTCCATTTGTGTTTCTGCTGCTTCTAAAAAAACCCTGAGCATTAAAAAAAGAAACACCCAGCCGTCTTTTGGCAATAAGTTAATGATTTCCTGGTGCCTGGAAAAAGTCACATCTGACGGGCATTGTACCGTCACCTAGCAACCCCAGCCTGTTACCTAGCAACCCAAGCTAGGATTTAATGCTGTATGTGCTGTACAATGGCTGCTGGAAAACACAAGTGTTTTGTTGTTGACTTACCATCCAGACACCACTTGCTGCATTCTTGTTGGTTGTGCAGGAGGCTCTACTTCTGCTTTTCAAAGATGTACGATCATAGAATTGTCCATCTGTTTGCAGCCATCATCACGTGTGTGGGGGGGGGGGCGTGACCAGCAACAGCTTAATTGGATTTAAAGTGACAAATAGCCCTAAAACATCTCATATGAATATGAAAGAGGAACTTGACCAGACTAAAATCTCAATATTTAAAAACGATTTTGGGCAAAAAAAAAATGTAGCAAACATGTTTTGTTGTTGCCCACAAACCTGTCTGATCTGTTCAAGGAAGCATAATAGGTCACCTTTAGATCAGTGTTTTGTTCTCTGACCAGTCTGGTGTGTGAGAGAGAGACTCTTCAAAACATAACAAGTACTTCTTTTTTATGTTATTTATCACATTATTAATATAAATGATACCAAATAGCAGTGAATTGAAACGGTTGTTTTGTCTCCAATGTCTGGTGTTGGAAAGGCTTTAAACTAACCTTGAAAAGTTCCTGAATTTTGCTGAGGGAAACTTGTGTGAGTCCTGACTGTAACCCGGCTCCTGCGCGGTTCTGATCCAGGTCCAGCTGAAGAAGTGCATCCCGTTCCCGATGGCGCAGGCCTTCCAGGCGGCCAAGGCGGTTCTGTCCCGCATCCTGGCCCGGCCTCGGTCCGGCCTCAGCCTCTACCACCTGCGCACGCTCCTGTTCTGGGCCTGCGACCGACTCCCCGCCGCCTACCTGTCCTGCCCCGAGCCCGACGCCCCGGGCCGCCTCCTCCTGGGTCTGCTGGACGACCTGGCGCACTGCATCCTGGGTAAGAACTGCCCCAACTACTTCCTGCCGCAGTGCAACATGCTGGAGCACCTGAGCGACGGCCAGGCGCTGCTGGTGGCCAGGAAGCTGGCCCACGTGCGCTCGGACCCCAGCGAACACCTGCGGGCCGCCCTGGACCAGGCGCGCCAGGCGGGCCAGCTGAAGAAGGAGCTGGCGGGCGGCGCCGCCAACGGACACGGCTCGCCGGGACTCCACCCGGCCAACGGCATCATCTCGCCGTCGGAGGACAAGCTGGCGCAGCGGCTGCAGCAGCTGGTGACAGAGAACCCCGGGAAGTCCATCTCGGTCTTCCTGAACCCCGACGACGTGTCGCGGCCGCACTTCCGCATCGACGACAAGTTCTACTGAGAGTCTGGAACTGAACCCTGCTGCTCCGTCAAGGCAGGATGTCACTTTTATAAAAATATTTGTTAAAACCGTCATCATGTTGACAGTTTATGAGACAGATAATCGAGATTGTTTCAGTGCAAACAAGAAACAACCAATCAGAGCCAGGAGGCAGGTCTAAGTGCTGTCAATCATGCTCGTGTGCTACAATACAGCTTGTCAGCAGAGCCCATGGTGAATGCTAAAGCTAGTTAGCGTGGCCACCAATGACTTGCCTCGTCACAATAACAAATTTACTTTGTGATAACGTCGGCGGCGATAAATCGTCCCCGACGTTATCGTGATAAATAATATTGTTTTGAGAACATTATCAAGTTATAATGTTGATAATGTTCAACATTATAACTTGTTGAACATTATCAACAT